AATTATCCTTGTATCATATAACCTTAAAATTACACTCTCTCATATTATTTTCTTACAAAAGTGAGGTGAGGTTGATGAAGTTACTAACATGTGTTAAGCATATGTTATAGAATTATGTTGGATGTAATTTGATTAATTTTCTAACTTTGATTGGACCAATAAAATTTATGTATTTTAAGTTGTTTATTTTCGTTTGAAATTATGAGATTGAATTATTATAGTTTTGTGATAAGACATTAACTTATTTGTGAGATTAGTGTATTTTAAGTTATTAATTATCTTACATTTTTATTATTATTTTAACAAAATTAACGTCAAATACAAGTTTAAAATTAACATTAAATTTTTATTTTTAATATTTCAATGACATTAAATATAAACTTAAAATTATTTGTAATATAAATTTTTTTATTTCTTAAAAAATTTATAAATATTCATGAATATCCGTTAGTATTCAAAAAATTCATAGATACACGTTTAATGGATACCCGCATAAATATGGAGTAGATATGGAACTAATTTTCATTCAATAAGACGAGAATGAATTTACTATTACCCATTTCGTGGGACCCCATCCCTACTCACACGATTTGTGGCCGTCCAATTCCAAAAATACAGGTCAGCTGAAATTTGTAACTTAAAGCTAGATGACAATAATATATCGGTTTCAATGTTTCTCACCTTTCTCATTACACAAAGAAAAAAGTGCTAATACGACAATTCTGTGGATATATCTATCATGTGTTCAATGGCTTTTCTATTTTCATTTTTGCAATTATTTCTTCATTGCTATTTGCTACTACTAATTTGTGGTTGTTTGTTCTATATGTATGTATGGCCTCCACAGTCCAACTTCAGCCATCACAATCACCTTTTTCTTCACAATAACTTAAATTTTGTTTAGTGCATGTGCCCGATTCAATTCGGTTCGCTTTCACAAGACCTAGAGGAGGACTTTCTTCTGCTTTTCACCAGCCACTACAAACATTTTTGTGAAATCATTAATACCATTGCGCTACTTTTCATAATTATCATCCTTCCACTATGGTTTATGCAAAATGCATATTACTTGGTAACATTTGGACCATACATACTAGTTCATACTACTCCCTTTCTCTTTGGAATATAACAATGAAAAATGATGCGAGGCACGTGGCAGGGGTGCAGAGTCATGAATGGTCAAAAAAAGAGTCCAAAGGCAGGGGCATTTTAGTAACATAACATGGACTCTCACACTATAAATATAATAGCCAAACGTGTGTTTGTTAGAACTTAGAAGCAGAAGCATTTGGGGAAAAGAGAGATGAGAGATGGCGAGAGGCATGAACGGTGGAAAAAGGTTTCCTATGGCTGGGCGTCCAATTCCAAAGAGGGGACAAGTGAAGGTTGCAATTGTCTTGGGCTTCGCTAATTCGCTTCTTTCTATCTTCTCTCGCACTACTTCATCTTCATGTCATCTCACACACTAGAACACCAACTTTTCCCCTTTTCTTCTTTTTTAATCGCTACTTATGTCTATATTCTCTATAAACAATCTTGAAACTTTTGTTCCATGGGATGATAGTAGAAGAGGACAAACCAGTGTGAATGCTACTTTAAAGCTCTTGAAAGGAGAAATAATAGAATAAACCTTGAAAGGTCAAGGCTCAAAAGAATAAATGTGCAAGTTGAATAATACTATAACAGAAGGCATTATTGAGAAAGTTGGTTCATAATTGACGTTATGGCTTAAATCATCTTAATTGCATTTCAACTTTCAAGTACAACATTCTTCGATGTTACTTGATGATTTATTTCTTTAAAGTACATCCTCAACCACATGCAAGATTGCAAGTGGTATGCAGAATGTAAAATTAAATTAGTATAATTCAATATTTCAATGTTTAGTGCTTCGTGGTTTCTAGATAGCTTCCTGGTTTGGTGAATCTTTTCAAAAATAAAATTGGTATATCATTCGGAAATATATAGCAACAGTGTTATAAAATTCACTCATGTTATCCACCTTAATTAGGATATTAGGTCAAGTAGAGGATCTCTTGTGTACCAGGGTTCAAACAAAGGATTATGATTTTGTTATATACACATATACATGTATTATCATGTGTTGTGCACATCCAAGAGTTATTATACACACACGTCTTTTTATAATAAGTTAATGTCTATTTTAAATCTAAGTTCTCATAGTTTTGCTTTTAAACATCACCCAAAAGACTTTTAATCTAATGAAGATTTTGTGTGTATATAAACCTATGTTCATTATTTTTTTTGAACTGGGACTTTATTATACCCAAATGATCCTCCTCTCAAACAAAAGATCATGATTTTACCCTCCTCCCTTTGCAATGAAAGTTAATCCAATGGTATTTTATAAAGAACTCAATCACGTTCTAAGTGCTTGCATTGCTGCTTTATCGTTAATTCAAGATAACGAGACAAATCTCCTAATCCTTCATATAATAAAAAAGATTCACCTATATTCTTTATGAAGACTTTTGACATAAAAAATTTATACCTGAATCCAATTGTCAACCATTATACTTGTCTAGTCGGTCACCTAATTAAACCAACGGAGACTTTGGTCATTATATATTGTTATTATTTATTTAATATATATATATATATATATATATATATATTAC